TGAGTAAATCTAGCTTTTCTATTTATGTTTATGGTGATGGGCCTATAATCTTCTGTAGTGTAATAAATGGCTTGCAAATTTTTCTCATAATAGTACTGAGAAATCCAAGAAATCCACTGTCTTATTCAATCACAGAATTACTACAGAAGAAATATTAAAGGGGTATAAGCATGTTTTCCACACCCTGCACTATCCAGACTACCAAGTTTTCATATTTTGTCTAAATTAAGGAAGCTGATGGCTATATAATCGCTTGAGATGTTCCTTCCTTTGTTCCTTCCCACTATATATAATGCAACACATTCCAATTTGGACTTAGTGTCATGGAATACTCTGAAGGATAAAATAGCATACTTTCAAATGATAAAGGCAAAGGCACGCAACCTAATCCAGTGAAACTTTTGAGATACTTTCCCTATTATCGTACATTTTCTCTGGCTTAGGGGAATTCCCCATTTTTTTAAGACAGTGACAAGTCTATGCACCCACGCCCATTTTCAGGCTTCAGGATGCTAAAAATAAATGCATCAGATATGCATCAAGTAGACACTGAGCAATTTTTGTCAGGCTTTCACTGAAAATCTTCATTGCCATATTTCTCCTAAGCAAATAACTTCTTATTCATCTTTTGCTATTATAAAACCAATTCCTGTTGCAGATGATGTGAGCAATTGTAACTCTCACTAGATTTTCTTATGTAATTATTAATTGTGCAGGAATAACAAGGTTTAAATTTCCCTCAGATATCAGCGGTCATACCCTCGACATTTTCAACACTGCTAAACAATCAAAAACAATAGAATGATGCATTTGATTGAATTATACTTTCCCCCCAAATGATGGTTTTCTTTAGCTAAAAATTATTACATGCATATGTGGTACCTTGCTCAATAGTAGTAACTATGAGAGGGATCTCGGAGTCTTAATGGACAATCACTTAAATATGAGCCAGCAGTGTGCTGCAGCTGTCAAAAAAGCCAACACAGTGCTAGGCTGCATTAAAAGAGGGATAGAATCAAGATCACGTGAAGTGTTAATACCACTTTACAATGCCTTGGTAAGGCCACACTTGGAATACTGCACCCAGTTTTGGTCACCACGATGTAAAAAAGATGTTGAAATTCTAGAAAGAGTACAGAGAACAGCAACAAAGATGATTAGGAGATTGGAGGCTAAAACATATAAGGAATTGGGTATGTCTAGTTTAATGAAGAGAAGGACGAGGGGAGACATGATAGCAGTGTTCCAATATCTCAGGGGTTGCCACAAAGAAGAGGGAGTCAAGCTATTCTCCAAAGCACCTGAAGACAGGACAAGAAGCAATGGATGGAAACTAATGAAAGAGAGAAGCAACCTAGAACTAAGGAGAAATTTCCCGACAGTTAGAACAATTAATCAGTGGAACAACCTGCCTCCAGAAATTGTGAATACTCCAACAATGGATTTTTTTAAGAAGAGACGGGACAATCATTTGTCTGAAATAGTATAGGCATTCCTGGCCAAGCAGGGAGTTGGAATAGAAGACCTCCAAGTTCCCTGCCAACTTTTTTATTACTACTACTACTACTACTATTATTATTATTATTATTATTATTATTATTATTATTATTATTATTATTATTATTATTATTATTATTATTATTATTATTATTATTACTGTTGTTGTTGTTGTTATTACATAACTGAGGCATTGAGTTAACAGTTGTATGCAGTGCAACTGAGTGTGGAACTTTAAAGTCTTGTGGCAATTTTGAAATGAATTACATAGTGTGGCGTGAGGTTTTGTGCGCAGAATTCACAAAACACTCCTGTATGTGCATAATATCTGCCATTTGATTGTATGTATATTCCAAACACTGCAAAATCTCAAAGATGTTAATTATGAACAATCTTTGTATATTCACAAGTTGTTCTGGTGTTCATGAGGCTATTATAAAGGACAGAGTCTACGGTGGTGGGCAGTTTTGATAAATTTAAATTTATTACTAGATAACTCTTGAGTTGGGTTGGGTCATTTTTTCAGAGGTATTTTCTTAGCAGATTCCTCAGTGCCTTCAACCATGACAGAACTTCTAATGTACTGCCTTCACTGGAAAAGCTGGGATACATTCAGAGATGCATCTGCCTTGAAAATAACCCATATTGAACTGTATAGCACATTCAAACATCAGCACAGAAAAGGTTTTATGATATTTTATATTATGTCATTAACTGCTTTATGATAACTTCTGTGTCATAAAATGTTTTATACCAAATTTCAGTTCCACAGGAGTCAAGAGTCTCCAATTTTGATCACATTCCTTAAGCTAGCCCATTTGAGGTATCTTGATTCAAAAATTGTTGCCCTACTATGAGGCACTGTTTTGCCCAATTAAAGGTTATGTGAATGTGAGTTCCAGAAGTATATAGATTATTATATTATTACACCCAACAATGTGAAATCAGAGCTACCAGTTCTTTAATTGATGTTAGCCTTCTTGTGCACTGAGTTCTTTCCAAGAATCTAAGATGTTGTATTGTATTGGTGTAGTATATGTGCAGATCCAAACAATGTGGCCTTTTGTAATTGATAGATGGGAATTTTTGTCCATGCACAGATTTTTTTAAGTACTGTCTAAGATTTTTCAATATTTCATTAACAATTTTACATTACCTATTAGCAGTAGGTACTCTGGGCAGTGGAACAGTTTATCACAGTTAATATATGGTATAAAATGCCTATTCTTAACACCTTGAGAAACATACCATATCATTGTCTATATAATTGCTATTTTTAATAACATTTTTCGATAATGCATTTTGGAATATTAGTAGGCTGCACTGGGGAAAAAATTGTTTGTAGGCAAGATATTTATTTTGAAATAAATAAATAACTGTGGCATTACCAGCTTCATATCACAATGTCTAGCTGCCTCTTATCAAGGGCTTCTTAGACTCAAGTAAACCTGTCATCAGTCTTAAAATTACAGAATGATTTGTTTTGTCTGTGAATAAAGTTGTTAGATGCTAAAACACAATTACCTGCTCTTTAAGGCCGGTGGGCACATTTGTACAGCAATTGTTGAGATCATCTCATAGTCACTCACCAAAAATGGTGCCAGTCACAAAATCTCTTTTGTCAGGAGTCAAACTACTAGGGCTGTTCCCCATCAACACGTCTAGGCTCCCGAGCTATCTTGCACCATTTTTTTCTTCTACCCTTTTTCCAGGTGCTGAGTCACGTTTCCAAACGGAGCTCTGAGTTATAGCCTCCTATTAAACACTCTGGAACAGATGCAGGATTCTACAGCTCTTGGATATGAAGATTATGTTAACAACTGTCATTTTACTTTAAACTGGCCGGTTCCTCAATTTTTTTCTGGGGAAAAAACCTAATCAGATGGAGCATGAAGACTGACAGAAGGCATGAGAAGTCTTTGCAGATTATCTATTCTCCCCCCATCTTACATCATCTAATTAATAATACAGTATCCCCTTTAATAAATAAAAGCCCATTATTGTCTGAGTTAATCAATAAATCAAACATATTCATAATATATATATTTCTTTTGGGTCTAATTTTTAAGTATTAAACAAATAGCATCCTTATTTTCGACTAATTTCCAAATATTTTAAATTTAATGAGCAAAATTTCCCTTGTCTCAACTTCTCCCTTTGACCCTCTAATTGGTAATATGAAATCCCCACTAATAAATCAAAAGCCCAATTTTCTTCAGCCTTATTCTGGCTTTCTTTCTTTGCCAACTAGCCTCCCATGTCTACGCTTTTAAATCATCAAATAGATAACTTTTAGGAAATAGAACAAGATTATACCCAAATAGATAAGATGTGTATTTTGAATATTAGATTCTGTTATGAATTGAGATAAAGGAAACTTTGGTTATCTAAAACCTGGAAATTATAAATATCAAATGTTAAATTTGAATATTGATGGGAAACTAAAAATTGGAAAAACTAATAACAAGACATTGATTGAATGTAAAAGTAATTAGGATACGTATAAGCTAAAATGTATTGATAAATGTAATAATGATGTTTTATTTAGTTGACATAATAAGAACTGTATTAGCTTAAATATGAGATAGTAGATATTAAGGGAAAAAGAGAGGAAATATTTGAGGTCGTACTTTGAGATTTGTACTAAAAAGTTTTGTATGCTACTGAACTATTGATTAACCCAGCCACCAAGTTGCTTTTTAAATAGCCAAACGTAAAATTAGAAAATTAATAAAAAATTTATTTTTTTAAAAAAGAAGTCTCTGCAGGCTCACTGGCACCCACAAGTTCCCAGTTGAGGCTGCAGGTTCCCATCAATTTTTTTTTTTCTCAGATGAGATCATTTCCCAAAATATTTCTGGGTAATAGAATCTTGAATGGTGAGATCTGATTATTTGTTCCTTTCCATTTGATAGCAAAGAAGAATGCCCAGAACTGGAGATTAGATTAGGACAGGAGCCACCGCTGGTGAAAAATCAGCACAATGCCTTAAAACAGCATCAGTTTGCACTGAAAGCTGATGGGCTGCCTCCTTCGCCAGCTTCATGCAATTATATTTTTAAAAGTGTCTACAATATCCTGGCTACTGTATTTCTTGTGGTCCCACCACCCACATCAACTCAGTATGAACTGGGTGAGCAGGAACTTCTCTTCTGCCTCAAGCGCGCTGTGATCTGCTGATTTTCTTTCACTCCCTCAGAAACCTTTAGAAAGCCTTCTCAGTGAGATGATGCCCAGATGTTTTAGACCATGTGTTTTTCAAACTTGCCAACTATAAAATATGTGGACCTCAACTCCCAGAATTCCCCAGCAAGCAAGTTGCCAGATGTCTTAGACCATTTTTTCCCCAAACCATCTTAGAATATATCATGCTCATCATAACTGAGCAGGGAATTCTGGGAAATACAGCCCCATGTACAGTATTTAGGGGGTATCAGGAGGAGTTTGACAAGCTGAAAGACTTGTCTCCTTCCCATTATATTACTATGCTCTTTTTTACTTACCTGCCGGCCAACACGGTTGTTGTGAAGCCTCATACGGGATGGGAGGTCACGATGGATCTCCCGAGAATCTAGGAAGTCCTTGGAAAATTTCTCCCCAAAGTCCACATCAGGACTGCAACCCCCCCATTCCCAGGAGTCTTGTAGGCCAGGGACCTCATCTGGCAGGTGCTCCAAGTGGACGCCGTGCATCATCCCCTTGCCACGGTTCATGGCCTCCAGTTGGAGGCGATGAAGTTTGAGGCGGAAAGCCTCTTCATCCCCTCGGCGCTTCTGGTCACAGCCACAGGTTTGCAGTTTGCCCAAGGAGCAGGCATTGGAGACCGCATGTACCACTCCTGCAGCTGCAATGGCATAGACAAAAGCACTTTCACGGAAACCTGCAAGCAAGCAACATAAACCGTGTTATTCAATCTCTGCCACAAAGCTCAAAAGTACTACCCTCACCGCAGTTTTAGTGCATGGGTATTTCTCAAACAGCATTAATCCATGCATGGGCATCTGCTATCTTACCCATGGGCTTACTTTGCTTATCTCCACACCACAAGGAGGCCAGGTTGGCCTGGCAATTAGTGTTGGGGCAGCACTGGGGAGACCAGATTCCACTGTCAGTCACAGAAAGTCACTGGGCAATTTATAGCTAACTGCTTTCTCTCAGCCAAACTGAGATTATGAAGGAGAAGCACCGCAGACTTTGCCTCAATCTCCTCTGCAAAGGCAACATATAAAACTTTTGAATAAAACGAACATCTGAGGGCCTAGTGAGTTCTCCTGCCATCAGATATTGAAGAACCAAATATACTTTCCAAATTATAGGATTTTTGCAACATCAGTCATTCTCCAGAAACTCTTAAGGCAAGCACAGTCCTCCTCCTCCTCTTCCTGTATCATTTAAAATTCATAATTTCTGCTTTTCATGGTGAACCGGCTAAAAGTCAGAAGAATGAAATGCAGAAAATACTTTTAATGTACAGAGAAACTGTGCATCTCTCAGATAGATAGAGATAAATAGGATAGATGATAGACAGACAGACAGACAGATTATCTATCTAACATCCAGGACATCTAATATCTAATATATTAGGTTTGTTAGCATCTGGGGAGAGACCAAATAATATTATGGGATTTTTATGGAACTGGGCTGCAAAAATATGGAACTGTAGTTGAGCCTAGAGTTCACTCATCTAATTCCTTCATCTTCAGCTCTCACTTCTCTCAAAGGCACACTCAGACAAAAAGGTCAAAACACCTAGGTTAGATTGTGCTTGGCTTTCCCCCCCCCCTTCCCAGAGTGGAATCCCATTATTTCCTGCTTCCTGTTCTAATTCCTGTTCACAACAGTCACTGTTGCAGTTGCAGAACAATTTTCACTAGCCTACTTGTCCAAACACATTCATTTTCAAAGAAAAAAAGAAACAAGTCTCTTCAAATTTCTGAAAAGAAAAAGAGCGCCAAGCTTGTTCCAATTTATAATTTCATTATTGCTTAATTATTTTGGGAGACGACCTCTCTTTATATCATGATAGATTGAATTCGAAAGCTTACCTTGTCTTGCATTTAGCATAGTATTCCTCCAATACTATATTACCTTTCCAGTCCATTTCCCTCCATGATGATCCTTTATTTAACTGGGGGGGGATACACTGAGATAATGCAATCATAATTTTATTCTAAGATTTAGAACTGGAGAAAATTCTTGTTAAAAAAAGGGTTCCTGCTAGACCAGGGGTCGTCAAACTTGGCCCTTTTATGATTTCTGGACTTCAACTCCCAGAATTCCTCAGCCAGGCACACTGGCTAGGAATTCTGGGAGTTGAAGTCCAGAAGTCATAAAAGGGCCAAGTTTGAAGACCCCTGTGTTAGACAGTCCCTTTATCCTGTCATCCTTCACTTCAGTAACTAGCATGATATATTAGATTAGGTCCTCTGTATCAGCTAACTTCCATCCAACCTGCAGAGATATATCAGAAGATTCTGATCTGTCTGCAGTATTATGGGTTATGGCCAGTCTTTCAAAACTGCCAGGCAGAAACCAACAGTATCCTTAGGCTAGATCCATCTTTCCCTCTACATCTATCTATTGAAGGGAGCTACCTGCTGTTTTTCAAGAAAACATACCTGTCATTAATACTCTCACTGAAAAAAATGCACACAGTTCTACAGCAATCAGAAAAAACCTTGTGCCACAGAGCAAAGTATGTACAAGCAGTAAAAAAAAATTAAAAACTGCATGAGAATTGCAAAATTAATTTTTTCTTCAGTCTTGTGCTCTAGTAATGTTCCAGTAATGTTCTTCATTAATGAAATGAGTCATGGATAAAACAGTGCCATGGCCTGCAAAAACTTCTAAAAATGCCATCGTGACAGGCAGGAAAGTTTTCTAAGCAAGATTGCAGCTTCTGACGCTCCAGGTAATGTAATGTATGAAACTCCAAAGAACCATTAAAATAGGTTTGTGTGGACTTCCTAGAGCCCCTGGGAAAAAGGTAAATTATGCACTTGCAGGGATTCTTTTCACAGAAGACAAAGCAATACCTCTGAAAACAATTTATTGGGAACAACACTGGGAGACTAAGGCTCCTTCAGCCCAGTTTCTGGGATTTGTATCACCAGAGAGGAGACCAGGATGCTGGAGGAAACGTCTCCTTGATTTCAGAAACCAAGTTCTGGAGGCAAGTTAATGGCAATTACTGAATTGGGATAAGCAGCCATGACAGCCTGAGAGGGCAAGTGAGGATGAGGAATCTTAGGCACCTTGGAATCTCACTACTGCAAAGCTTGCCAACATTAATTAGAACATATTTCAGGCTTTGGCATTGTTTATGCTCTAAAGATACATTGGAGTCACGCAAGAAGAAGCTATAGGCTGCAGTCTCCAAAGCCCAGCATTATTTCAGTGTGCAAGGGGGATTTCCAGTGGAGCAGTGATCAATAGAAGAGAGAAATTCCTGCTCCAAATTCTGCTGCCAGAGGATGTTTCAAGTTTCGAGCTCAAACACAGGCATGTGCACGCGCACACACCCCCCTTGACAGTCTATCTTACACATATGAACTAGTTTATGAAATACATAGCACAGATAGATAAGACTTGATGAAAGAGAAGCTGTCTGTGTATTTACAGGAAGGTTTTGTGGCTTCCATTTATAACATGAACTTTTCAACAGATTGTTGATCCTTAATTACAAAAGAAAGTAGGCCTGTTCCTCTTTGCCCCAAGACTTCATTTTGATTTAACTAAGTATTAATGCAAGGCTGGACATTATAACTCACACATGTTTAATTTAAGTCATGTACTACCTGAGTAATGGCCAACATCACATCATCCATCAGAGGGAACAATGTACAAAAAGTGAATCCCGAGTAACACTGGAACAAGTAGGTCAGAGGTGTCCAACCTTGGAAACTTTTAAGACTTGTAGACTTTGGCTCCCAGAATTTCCCAGCCAGCCAATTCCAGCAGTTGAAGTCCACAAGTCTTAAAGTTGCCAAGGTTGCATGGCCCTGAAGTAGATCATTTTATAAGGAGTCAAAAGAATAATAATGGCCCAAAGGACAGCTGTTGATAATCTATTTACTCATCTAAGGGGCTTTTCAGCATGCAGATCCTTTCACCCCATCCCTTTTCTTAACTCAGACAAAACGACATACTATACAGCAGGGGTGTCAAACTCAATTTCATTGAGGGTCGCATCAGCATTGCAGTTGCCCTTGGGGGGCCGGGTGGGTGTGGCCAGGGTGAGTGCGGCCTACTGGGTGGGCCTGGACAGAGTGGGTGTGGCCTACTGGGTGGGCATGGCCAGCTCTACATCGTTCGCATCAAGGATGCCTGTGGGGGCCTGGGCAGGTGTGGGACAGATCTGAGGGTCTCTGGCGGAAGGGGGTGGGACCGGGGCAAGTGCCAAGGCCTGGTCCACTGGCGGAGCCTCACTGTTCCTCTCAGGCCATGGGGGGGCTGGATGATGGTGTGGGCTGCCCAGAGCCCTGGGCAGCAGAGGTCAAATGCCCAGCCTGGCCCTCGAGCACCCATGGCACCAAGCCCAGCCCCACTTCCCCAAGGGGGTGCCCAGCTGCACTTACCTCCTCCTCAAGGCTGCTGCTGCTGTGCTTGCTCTCCTTAGCCAGGTTGTTCATGATGGGTACCAGGGCAAAGTCAGAGGGAGACTGAATGTGTTTCAGCATAGATGGCCACCACAAAATTGTACATTGTCTCCCGGCTGGCCAGCCTGGGCCAGGGCCAAGGCAGCGGGGGCCGTTCCCTCACTGTTTCCAGGATGGCTTTGCGGGCCACATGAAACCACTTCGCGGGCCGCAACTGGCCCCCGGGCCTTGTGTTTGACATGTCTGCTATACAGTATAAGTCCTAAACTGAGCTCTGGGTGGCTTATGCTGTACTGCTTTCCTGCATTTTATTTACTCTCATTTTACTAAGGGACCATAGGATGCTCTCATTCATTTGCAATCTGGGGTCTTTTCCTAGAACTGCTTCAGTCTTTACTGCAGAAAACCCAGCCTTCTTGAGAGGAAGGGAAGAACAACAACACTTCAGTCGATGTAGCTTTCAGGTGGGCCAACAATGCAGGGAGCAGCTGAACCATTCAGACCCCGAGTACAGAGTCACTACTAGGATCTTTGCAGTGAGCACCACTGATCAGCTGTGTTGATGTTGTTTGTAACTGTTTTAATTAGTGCCAAAATGTGTTTCTGGACGTAGTTTGAAACATTTCACAGGCCCCAATATGCAAGCATGGAGTTATAGCAAAGGAAAAGATCTGTGTTGTATCTCATTTGTAGTCAAAATGGTTACTGGGGAGAGTGAGGGTTTTCCTTTTGCTTTTCTTTCTCTCTCGCTCTCACCATTAGCCACCTTAAAAAAAAACAATATCTCTAAATTATCGCAGGACTATTGTATTACCTAATGTCATTTTCTCTGTGCAGACGGGAGAATGCCGCACTCAACTGTCTTTCTGCCAAACTCTACAATAAAGTCACCCATGATCTCTTGAGCTTGAATGTTTTAGAAAGTGAGAGGGGGGGGGATCCCAAAACGCAAGCCTTCTGGCAGTTGTGTCCTTTGCCAATTGTAAATTCAATGCTATCCAAACATTCCTGGCTCTGCACTACCACCTTAATTCAAGATGAAAGATAGATCCTTGCTGGGTTTTTCAGTTGCTGTTTCTGGCTACAGCTCCCTCAGTATCTGAGGTCCACTCATATTCAAGCACTCACAAAGTGAGATTTCAACATCTATTGTTCCATCTGCTTCACAGTCTTTAAGATCTCAACTTTTTTTGTTGCTGTTCTTATTGTTAACTGAGTGATTTCAAGGCACATGACACAGTTCTCTGCTAAAGCTAAGCAGGTCTGGTCCTGCAGGCTGCTT